ACGCTTATCCAAGTGCTCACGAAAGAGGTCATTCATAAGATTCACATATGCTACGGTGCACTTGTCAACCCAATTGGTATCACTACAATCCCATAATACCCATAACTTGAGCGGAAAGCCGTCTTCCGCACAATTCCCTCAGCTACAATAAACTTGTGGTAATCTGATGCCAAGACAATCCTCGAAAACAATGAACCTCCCAGCAGCTAGTCCAACCATTCATCAATACGCAGAAGCGGATGTTTTTTCTTGATGATCACTCTATTCAAATCTTTGCAATCGATACCAAATCTGAAACTCCCATCTATTTTTTGTCGCAACAACACTAGTGGTCCCCATGGTGAAGTATCTGTCTAATAAAATTTCTATCTAATAAATCTTTCATCTGGTTCATCGGCTCAGCCATCACTGTTGGCGCTAATCAATACAGAATTCGTGAAACCGGTGGTGTCCTTCGTTCCATTTCAATCGCCAAAGCGTCTCCTATGCTTGGTGATGATCCTTCCAAAGATCAAAAATACATATTCATACTCTGTAACTGAAAGGTTCTGCAGTTAATGCTTTCCATCGTCCTTCACCATCAAAATGGTCTCAAATATCCATATGATCTTACATCCAAAAATTCCTCAACATGTAGAAATGGCGGCTATGAAAATCTCCTATGCTCCAGAAATACAAACAATCCAATGCTACTCGATGTCGTGATAGCCAATGCATCCTAAGAATAACATAGCAGAAGCTCAACTCCTAGAAGTCTTCAAATAAATTAATCACTCCAACCATAACTGGTACATCTCGATGAATATACGTAGCTCCAAACATCTATATGCCAATCGTCCGAACTGACAAATATCTGAAACGATCAACACGATCAAGAACTGGCAACCAAAGCCAATCGAAGCTCTAATATCAACACAATGCGAGTTACCGCACCCCAAATTCAAAAGCGATCCCCACGAGTTTACAAAGCAGACATACCTCCACATAATCCATATACTCATACACAACATAACACATGCCAACCAATGGCTTATAACTCATATCACAAATCACATACACTCCAGAAACAAAACTCGTGAAGCGATAGCTTGAATGTGGATGGCAGATTCGTCACATGTCCAGTCGCATATAATCTCTGAACACGACCGACGAAACCGATAAACGCCTCAGCAATCTGACAAACTCTGACATCATCAATCCGTAACCTGAACTTCTGGCTGGAAACCTGTTAATTAGAGAACGGATGACAATGACTTTACTCATTGTCATAAAAGACGATTAGGTTAGAAGTTACTAAACGGAGAGGTGCTAGTTGTCTTTATTTTTAAAAGTTACCAAATCCCAAAAATCATTTTATAAATCATTAAAAACCGATAAAAACCGAGTCCTCACAGATCGCCATCTCGGGTCGGAGCCGGGACGGAACCTGCTCTGATACCAAATTGTAAAACCCGCATTTTCCAAATAATAAAATAGATAAAAATGTCTGAAATCTCCATTTATTAAATCGCATAAATCATCTCAAAAACTCCACAAATCCAAAATAATCATAATAAATCTCAAAAATATCGATAAAAGCATAAGTCTGAAAATAAATAAATAAAACTCCCAAAAGCACCAGTCCGAAATGATCACTCATGATCGACAGTATCACCTGAAATGGGGGAAGAAAGAGGGGTGAGTAACAGAGGAGTCACTCAGTGAGGTATGGGATGCTAACCACGCAAAACACTGACTTGAGTAAATAGAACTCCCACTATGGAAATTTACCTCTAACATGAACAATCAAGACACCTAAGGCATCACATAGAACAAACAATGCGCTGATAGTGCATAGCTAGACCATACACCCCTCATCTCCATATATGGATATACATCATACGCTGCGTCGCTAGTACAGTATGTCTCTGTACCCCCCGCCCTCCAAATCTGCGTCGAATTCAAACGTCTCTGCACCGTGCACCACACAGTTGCGTCGCTAGTCCAAACGTCTCTGAGCCCCCGCCCTCCAAAGTTGCGTCGATAGTCCAGGCATCCTTGAACCCCCGCCCTCCCACATAGTCCCTACTCATAACTATGTATGTACATATATATATATATATATATATATATATATATATATATCATCTCTTAATATCACACAATCCAATCAACGGTTGAATCCTCTAGACCCCTTGTTCCAATTTACAATGAATAAACTAACTAGCAATCAAGACTCAAACAGACTCAATTCAAACAGACGAATCATGCTTCGAAATCTGAACTACGATAGGAAGAATTCTATTCTGGTACGAGAGTTACGGATTAGACCCTCACCTTTGCCACGGGTTCTGAAGAAAACCTGAGAAAACACTAAATGACCCTGATGGCTCTAAAAACAGCAATTCCGGAACTCTCTGAAAATAGATGAATGTGAAGATTCTGGCAGAACTGAACTCTAGATAAATCAGATGAATAACTCAAGAACTGACTGTTAGCTTTTCTATCCCTCCGGTAATAATATAGTCCTTGTCGTACTCTGCCAGTAGCCACCGAGTTTACGCCGATCAGACACCGTTTGATTAGTCAAAATAGCCTCGCCTCCAAGTTGGTCGCAAACGCAGACTACACCAACACCTTCCACGAAAATAAGCATAACTCTCAGAAAATAATTTGAAATGACGATCCGCTTGTTGGGGATGATAGATAAAAGAACTAGTTACTTACTGACAAATTTCCAGTCTGAAATATTTTGATTCTATTGACCTTTCCTCACTTGCACCGAAAATAGTATGAACTGATTCTGTAACACAACAGCTTAATTATTGCCAAGAAGAAACGTCAATAACTTTCTAACTGTACCTTTGTTTCACGATCAGAAAGATGATATAGAAATCTGACATCGAGATCTTTCCAAAGATATCTTGCTCGTTTCCTGGTTCATTCTGGATCTACATGAAAACACTGATGAAGTTGACTGCTGGTAGATCCGATCTGCAGAAATCAGTCCCGAAGAAATAATCATAACTCTTAATTAAAAATTTCAAATGACGATCCGTTTTCTGATACACATATATCTATGAATTTAGAACATAACCTCAAAAATTGGCATCGAAATTCTTGGTTTTTATCAATCGTTACTCTAGTCTCTCAAAACGTGTCTGATGAACCTTAATCTCTCTTTTTAGATGGTGTGATGACTTTTCTTTCGTGGCGGCTATTGGTGGCTGATCCGGCAACATTCCGGCAGAGTTTCGCCACTACAATTTTATCTGTCAAAGACCACCACGAAATCCTTCTTTAAATAATAAAAATTAGAGTTTTCTTCAACTCTATTGGCCTAGCTGCACCGAAATAACTGAACTGGGTTTTGAGTCGTTACAGATTCACTTTAAAAATTGTCAGTAATAATGCGCTTACTTTCTCAAATTTCAACTTATAATTGTAAGGTTTTGAGTAAAACAAAACTCGGACGAAAGGCACCTAACCTGATAGATTCTCTTGCATTTTAGTTTATATATCCTCGTACCTCGTTTCTTACATGTTACAGGACCATTTTTCCAATAACGTCCTCAAATCTGATACAAATCTTAGCATTTAAATCAAAATACTAATGATTTAGATCGAGAAAAATAGAATAATGTACAGTAGAACCTCTATAAATTAATACTCGATAAATTAATATACACTAAAGGTCTCTATAAAATAATATAATTTTTAGTCCTAAATTGAGTTTTTGATTTAATTAGTATATCGATAAATTAATATCTGTATAAATTAAGTAAAAATAAAATTTTGGTGTAGTCTCAAAATTATTAATTTATAGAGGTTTCACTGTAATTTTTTAAAAAAATTGAAAATTGTACCTCTTTTTGATGTTATTTTTTTCTGCATTATGTATACGGAATATTTTCATGGAAAAAGTTCTACTCAAAATTGATCTTTTTTTTACTTAAAAATAATATATTTTCAAACACAAAATACACACACACACACATATATATATATATATAGTCAGTGCCCCATACTTTTCATGCCTAAAGTGGACGGAAAAAATGCTTTCTATCTTGATTAAATTTTAAAAATATAATCATCTATTTGTTCCAAAAAGAATCATAAATAGTAAATATTATTAAAACTTAGTTAATTTTGAACAAAAATAGATACAAAACATTATTTGAAGCTGATGTAGTATTTTTATCTTTTCCTATTTGCCACTTGGTTGATTTCTAATATTACTTTAATAGCATTTCCTACAAATCTAAAGAAACAAAAAGAATACAAAATGTAATTAATAGATAGATAAAAACATATAATAAAACACGACAACAACCACAATTTTTATGTTTTCACAAAGTTTAAAAAAATGTTAAACCTTAGTGATATTTTGAGTTTTGCGAATTACAAAAGTCCCTAGCAGAATTATAAAAAATTACAAAAGAGAAAAAAAAAGAAATAAAAAGGCTTCCTAGTAGAGCTATTCTCATAAAAATCAAGTACTATGAAAAAGTGGAATATGAACAATTGATAATTCAAATTAATTGTTATAATATCCATTATTCATATAGTTTTTTTTTAGCAAACCACAAAAGCGAAAGATAAAAATGGAGAAAGTAAATCATCTTAAATAAAATAAAAGAAATCATTAAGTTTTCTTAGTAAACCATATAATGTAGGGTTTGTTCAATTTTCGCAGGAGTTGGAGAGTCAAGACGCCTTTGGCCCAATCCTCCCATCATCTTCTTCGTCTCTCGCCAAACCTTCCTCTAAACCTCCTAGAAGCTTTACCTGTAACTCTTTATGACCCAGATTTATGGCTTCGTTACTCTCATCTTCACTTCAATATCATTTTCAGTTTAAGTCTCTGTTCGATTCTCTTTTTGAAGGCGGTTCCATAACGTGATCAGATTACGGAGAGGCTTCATGATCCTCGTGGACTCCGCCGAGTAGGAAAATTAGGCTCTGCTCCTCACAACCAATCCCGTAGACGCTTTCTTAAATCTCTCTTCATTGAAGAAACTATGTTAATAGGTTATCTGATTCTGAAAGCGGAGAGGAACAACGCAGAAGATGAGTCTACTGCTAAATGGATACTCTCTTCAGCCGTTGTTAAGGTACTCTAAGACAAACATGGTTCCTCTTCAGAAAGTAACACAATAGATCAAACGAAGTGTTTTTTTCCTCTTAAGTTATTATTATTAGGAGACTCAGTTTGAAGGTGAAGATTAAAGTGACAAGAAGCAAGATCTAGATGATATATAATGGGCATACGTATAAAAAGAGAAATATCAACAATGAAACTGATTAAAGATCAAATGTGGTCGAAATCAGTGAGCTATATAAAAATTAGGAACTTTTTAAATCTTATTAAACTCTCTGTGTGCTAATAATCTTACCGTGTAAACTTCCCATGAGGTGTTGGGATGGCCAGTTTTTGGCGAGAAAAACGAAGATCTGTATGGTTCTTGAGCTTGTCAGTGGAGGTGAACTATTTGACAAAATCGTAAGAAACCATTCTGTATTATTTTACTCTTAATCTCTTACCATGTTTGTTTCCTCTATGCCGCTGCAAGTTCCGAATCTTCATGTTTTTGCGTAAGTCGTCATAATCATGAGAGTGGTAGTTCGTAAAATATGGACGTCATGAAAGACTCAGAGTATTAGAGTTCTCACATGTAAAACGCCAACAAAAACTATAATGTGAGTTTCTTCCTTTCTTTTGTTTTTGTGTGTTTTCATGTCATTCTTGGATAGGAACTATACGATAGCCCCACAAACGAGAATTTGACCCAGTTAATCGTATGTTTCCTTTGATCTTTTCTCTTTCAGACGCCACTGGCACAGCTGCATTCCTTGGTTTTGATACGGAGGTGGCTAAGATCACACTCATTCAAGATTTCGAGGCTGCACAGATTGTGGTATAACCTCTAATCCGTCACTAAATATCAGCACCTATAACCCTTTTGCGAATTGATTCGTAATTATGACCGGTTTGCAGGGGATAGGAGTTAAAGCTCAGGTTGACACAGATCTGCCACGATCACTCGCTGATATTGTTGAGAATACCTACACCTTCCAGCTCAGGTTTAAAGACTTCAATTTTACTGCAAACCACCAGACCTGTACCATTACCCGCATATTTTCTGCACCAGAGCTTGCACCTGTGCCGATTTTTGTTGTGAGTGTTTGATCACAATTCCTAATGTAGTTTACTGGTCATGAAGATAACGAGTCATGGTCTTTGTAATATTGGTAACAGGTGGATGCACATGTCCCTGGAGCAGCGCTTGCTGAAGCTGTCGTACCTGTATCAGATGTCACAGTCACTAACACTAGCAAAGTTGCAGAGCAGGCAACTACACATGATGGATCACTTTCTGGAAGTCTAGCAATAGCGAGAGAACAAGTTGATCTCGAAGATAATGCCTCCAAGATAGCACGCTTGGAAGGAGTCCCACTGTTGGAGACCTTGCATCAGTTACTTACCACCCATTAGGAATTGTCTAATGCAAATTAATTAGTAATAGACTGAGAACAATTATAACATGATTATGCTACCAGCCAGTTTACATGTTGTCGTTTACAGCCACATGCATATGAGCGCCTCTTTGATGCTCCTACGAAAAGATGTTACTAATATTGTTTACAGAGAGATTTTCAGAAATCTCAGGATAAGTAAGTCACGTCCAAGTACAACCCTATCCCAATTAAGAAAGTACGTATGAAACAACAAAATATATCATCGTAAGCTTTACTGTATTCATTACAGGAATCAGCTAGGGATACCAGTCCAGTTCTTAATGTTTTCATAGCCAGATATGGTGGTCATCAAGAGGTGGAGAAACAATAAAATACTATTTCCATTATGAATTTTTCAAACAACTTCCTTTAGTAGACAACTTCGATCACAGACTATGAGTTTCCAAAACATATGCTCTATTTCTGCATTACTTCAATAATAATGTCTTCTTGTGTCCAATGTCAACCACACAACAAACTTTAAGCATAACAACCACTTATGAAGTACTACATTATTGTTATGCGTGATTTATATGCTTTGCCTCAGTCACTGAGACAAAAATGTTATTATAAGAGGGAGAATGGGAAGAAGCTCAGTCTCTTAATCTCTCAAACTATGAAAACTTTGAACAGAGTTTTCTCATACTGTCTACCTTTTCTTGATGGAGCTTCTGGCTCACTATCCTTAGGTGATGACTCTTTTGTTTACATGAACTCAACTTCAGTTTCCTACACTCCTTTAGTACAAAACCCTCAGATAAGTTCCTATTACATTCTGAATCTCTCCGTGCCGGACCAAACATTCAAAATTTCAACCAGGGCCCTAGGCCTATATAGATAATATACAAATAATGAAAATTTGTAATGTAAAATTTTGAGAAAAGGTCCATGTGCCCTAAGCGTCTGCTTATGTTGCCTACCCTCTAAGCCGGGCTAGTAGTTGGTGGCGTGGAGCTGGAATCTTCTAGCTTTGGTAGTCCTAACATCCTTTCCAAATTCAACAATGATGGTACGTCGTTGCTTGCAATATGGATACATAACAGCTCAATATTATTTATGAAAATATTTGCGAATAACTCAACAGAACATTCATCCCAAAAAAAATCACGTGTTGGCAAAAACCCAAATCTATGTGATTGTTTTCAAAACTAAAAACCGCACACAAATCTAACTGTACAACACTATCGCCGGTCCTCATATTTTACTTATATTTGCTAGAAATTTATGATTCTCAATTATAAAATCTTATCAAACTTTCTTAACTTTAAAATTTAATTCATCAAATTTAGTTTAAAAACTCATTACTTATTTTTGGCTGATTCTTTGTCTTCTCTTGTCATAATTCTTCGTCTTTTTCCCCTCTATAAGATCATTTCGATTAAACAATGATTACAACAAACTCAAGGAACAAGTCAGCTAGACACAAATCTTTGTGTTTATTGTTATAATAATAAATAGAAGAATAGAAAAACATATGATTAATACAAAAAAAAACAAACAATACAGAAATCTGATGCGGTTCATTGAGTTGGCGACATCCACATATATTTCATTTAATTATTTATTTAGCTAAACGTGAAAAACAATTATATATATTACTCCCTTACTTGGGTGTTATTAATCTGTATAGTAGAAAATTAAACCAACGATCTGCGTAATTTAACGGATAAGACAAAGTTTTCTTAAACAGGATTGGCAACTAACCAGAAATTTGTTGTGTGATAGATCAATATGGCTCCACCGGATTCAATTGAGTTCAATTAAATTTCATGATATGTTGTAAATAATAGACATATTTTTTTAAAAGATCGTATTAAATAAAAAATTTTAAGTAAAAAAAATGTTTTAAATTTTTCAAAAATAACTAAAAGAAAATGTAAATACAAAGTTATGAAACTTTCATATATTTCGAGATCCACCCTACAATATGGGGTCAAAAGCCTAAATAAAAGATTTAATCTAAAATAATACAAAAAAAAAACACTTTTAAACTTCATTCTTAAAGTCTTCATCACTCCAAAATTCCTTTAACTTTAAAACAAATTATACTCTCTCTGTTTCATTATAAGTGTCACTTTATATCTGTGCCCACGGATTAAGGAAACAATTAATTTTACATATTTCATATATAAAAACACATTAACTATACACCTAACCATATTTTAACCAATAGAAAAATAAATTACATAATAAAATTAATAAATTTTATGAAAACCGAAAATGACACTTATTTTGTAACACCAAAAATTCTCTACAACGACACTTAATATGAAACAGAGGGAGTATGTACTTAGTTTCTTATTAGGTCGTGTAATGAGAATCAAAAATAAGTACAATGCTTTGTTTTTATAAAAAATTGCAATTTCATGGATGTTAATGTTTCAATTATTAAATTTTTCAACACAAATAATCATATACTAATATCTAAACAAAGTAATAAGTAGACATAAACAATACATTGACGTGAAGATTTTTGTTTGTAAGTCATGTGATTTATGAATAGCACAAACAACAAAAGGAAAAGACAAATTATGGTGCTGCTTTATTAATTTTTTACGAACTTTATTTTTATTTTAGAAGAAGAAAAATTGATTATTTTATTAACAAAATTTTGGTTTATATACAAACTTGAGTTTAACCAGTTCATTGGATCGCTGGCTTCCATTTTCTAATGGTTTAATAGGCATTTAGTTCAAATTCTGTTGGGATTTGTTATTAACCCAATTTTTTATAACAATTTTTCTATGGCCTCTTCTCCAGCATATATATACTGTATTTCGTAATATGCACACTTTATATACTATTAAACAGGTAAACGACCTATTTCCCTCTCAGAAATATCATATCGTAACATTTCCACACAATGTTTCATCTTAATTCTTCATATATAGAATTTTAAAAACGTATATCTCCAGAATTTGAAAGTTCAAAACATATTTACACATGATTTTTAAGTTCTAAACTCAATCCTACATAAACCGTAATTAAATTCGGTTTAGTGCTTACCAAAAATTTATAACCAATTATAAACGGAATTAAACCGAATCAAATGATTTATTTTTAAGTTGGTAAACCAAATTTACATAAAACCAAAATCTAAACCAAAAAAAAATGTTATAAATCCCTAAATCGTTGTCTTCATCTTCCTGGATTACTCTGTTTTTCAACTAACAGTACCAATATCATCATCACACCAATTTCTCAACTCTGAGAGAGAGAGAGAGAGAGAGAGAGAGAGAGAGAGAGAGAGAGAGAGAGAGAGAGAGAGAGAGAGA